ATATATATATATATATATATATATATATATATATATATATATTATAGATGTCTATAATTATATACACATTAAGAAAGAAAGGATGTTTTATCTATTATCTGCAGAGAGCAGAGTTTATTCGCTGCAGAGAGCTGGTTGAGAATTATGACCGGATTGTTGATTCGTTTGCGAAATAGTTCAAAGGTTTGCTTTCTTTATGGAGATAAATCTCAAGAGATAAGAACAGCACAAGTACTGTTTGTTCACTTTAAATTTTTACGTCGAACAGTCAGTAACTACAAGTCAATATTACAAGTGCTGTATATAATTTCGTAAGCCGTTAATAAGCCGTTTGTAAACATGTAAGATAGGTTTATGTTATATTATATTGCATATGATGTCTATTGGAAAATTTACTTTGTATATGTATGTGTAGATCTTTTTATAAAAATTTCTTTATTCTGTAATTTCTTTTTATGTAATTTTATTTTAATTTTTTCTGAATTAAGACTTTTTTTGTATATTTAATCTGGAGTTTTAAATAATTTTACTTATATAGAGTATCCCTCTAATAACAGGTAATAAAATATTCGTGTATAGTATAGAGTGAAACGATTTTAACACCTTTTATAATGAAGTTAATAACCCATTTAGTTGTCATATTTGGAAATCATAATTCAATCAATGCTTCGAATATAAAAGACATTATGACATATGAGATATGACATATGACATATGAGATTAGCATAATTTAAATTGTAAATACAGAAGAATGTACGTATGAAAGTAATACAAAAAAAAAGAGTAAGAGAGAAAGAGAGAGAGAGAGAGAAACAGCGCTCTCGCATTACTTTCATACTTATATTTTTCCTGAATTTACAGTTTAAGTTATGTCGTTGGATATTTCTTATATTTAAAGCACAACATTTTTCAATTCTTCAAGCATAACTATTACGACGATTTAACCCAGAATACTCCCTAATGCTCTTTAAATTTCTGGGAGTGAAAATCTCACTCGAAAAATGAAGTGACAGCTAACTTACTCGAATTAGAATGACTTCTCATCCTTATAGATTGAATTCTTTCTCTATATCATGGAGTGAAAATTTTCATTCTGTGTCGTAGAATAAATTTTCGACAAATGGAGTGACAACCGTCGCTCGAGTTAGAGTGACTTTTCACTCGTATGGAGTGAATTTTCTATTCGTGAAAGGGTAAGTCATTTGGATACAGCGTATATATGTTCGAGTTTTTCTACATTCTCCTAATCGGTCAGTATCAATGATTGTGATTCTGAAATTAAAACTTCTTTTTTCATCATCCCTTATTTGGGTGCCACTTCGGACCGTTTCAAATTTATAATTGAGTCAAAAACCATAAGGTTAGCTTACAAAAACCTTGTTAAATTCAATTAATTTATTAGGGTAGATAAAGATTTTCTGCCGAGATTGATGTTGTTTATAAGATTAATTGTATGAATTGTGATAAGTCATAAGTAAATCAAACAAGTAGATTATTAAAAACGAGTATAACTGAGCATCGTAGACCCACTAAGAACAAATTGTCATTAATTTCTGTAATTAAAACACATCAAATTGACCATCAAATTGTTTGAGAGAATGTAGAAATACTTGACAAGGAGGTTCCTATTTTAAACTTTTGAATTCTGAAACGATATATTAAAAAAAACAAAAAGAAAAAGGTTTAAACAACCAGACAGACACGGAATTTCTTGGACAGCGGTACTCAAATATCCTCGTTAAATTTAAATTTAAATATTTGCGTGCGGCTTGCGTCCCCCCCCCCCTCTCTATACAGTACCTTTCAACAGTTTCGTTGTTATTATTGATGTTTGTTCCTAAAACACTCTATTTGATCCGACATTTTTGTAACGCAAAAATATCTCCTCATATTGACTTTGTTCCCAACATCAGTTGCTTAATTTATAACAGTATATAGATATTTATATCTTTTTGTATTTTCCTCTCTCTCTCTGTCTAATTGTAATGCATTTTTGGCTTACTCTGTTTTTTAATTTTCCTTTCATTCAAATTAAGCATTTTTACTCGTTTTCTTTATTGTCATCATTGCGGAGAACTATTTCGTTCAATGTAGCAGATATCGCATCGTCTACTTAAACGTTGTTGGCCATATTTTGTCATTAATTTCGATTTTTGTTCTAATTTGCGTTTTTAACTTTACTTGCGTGCGTTTCTTTAAGTTTTGGTCTTCCGTTACGGTTGGTCCTTGCGCTTAAACTTTTATTTTTTATCCCATTGTATTTTCTGAAGAGGACTCAAATTGGGTCGAAACGTAAACTGATATAATCGATATTGTAGTCTTTGTTATATTGTAATATATTGATTGCACTTTTACACCTGTGCCTGGCTCTTAAATGCTCTTTCCTTTTATCTTATTTTTTTTATAATCTATATAACCACGTATATGTAAGTACTTATTGTTAACGTTTATTTTACGTTAAAATTTCAGGAAATACTGGGAATTAACTTCGGTGAAGTATTCAAAAATAATGTTTCTCACGATATTTCTATTCTGTCTGATCGGCGTCCCTTTCATACAATGCAAGCAGGTAATTTTAATTTATAGATTAATCCACGCATAAATATAAAATTGGAAACAAATACTGAACATTTAATCCTTCATCAGATGTTTGAACTATAAATGTAATTTAAAAACTTCTACATATCAGACTAGTAAAAAATGTCTCGTTTTTTTTTTGTAAAGTACATGGAGAAAATATAGTAATAATTATGTTAAAATCATATTTCATTTTACAATGCTTTTTGCAGAGTTGAACTATACTAACCTTGTCCCAACAAACATGATGGCGTCAAATGACCTTTTAATGACGTGTTAATGACATTTCTAACGTCCATAACACGTCATTAATATTACATTTGACGTCATCCTGCTACTTACAGTAGTATAAATGAAATTAATACTATAAAAGTAGTATAAATATTATAGAAATAGTAAGTTGACGATTTACTCGGTAAAAATATCAAACAGCAATAACATTCCATGTTATAATTTTCGATGTTATAATTTTCTATTCAGCGTGATGTCACATATAACACATGTTATATTAGACTTGCATTGCTAAGTGAAAAATTATAGGATTAATATAATGTTATCTTTCGTTGATATTTATTGAATATCAAATATACAACATAAAATCATGCATATAATTATAATAATTTTGTAGTAAAAAGTCAAACGTACATAACGTTTTTAAACAAATACTTTCAATACAAAACATAATACTTTCGATCGGATTGGGATTATCGATATAAATCGATCTGTCCCGAAAGCGTGGGCACTACAATATCTTGGCATAATATATATCAGCAGTAATAAACTAGGCGCCTAAAGTACAGCAAAAAACGTACGCATCTATTGAAGGGTTAAAGTCGATATTTTTATTCTATATTTTTCTTTTGTATATATATTTTATTTTAATTATAAGTTTCTCATTTTGGCTCATTTTTTTCACGTTTGAACGCATTTTCAGTTGCACGAATATATGACGACGGACGAAGTAATGTCCGTATTTCACACGCCACATGATCTTGGTAAGTTGAATTTTCGTTCAAAAAAAGATTTGTTTGCACACGCATGTAGTGCGTTCCTAAATTATATAAAAAATACATACATAATATATTTTTGTTAACTTTAATATTATGATTTATAACATCAGCTAAAAAATTGACTTTTAGTACCCGAATATGAGATAGTGCCAGTAAAACATCGTCTAGCGAAAAACAGCGATTCGGAAGAAGGGTCCGAGATAACACTGGCAGCATTCAGAGAAAATCTCGAGATGTATTTACATCCCACAGAAGGTATGCTTGCCAGTAACAATACACCTGTATGGACTGTCACGTCTGATCCAAAATCACCCGAAGGAATGCGATACGATCAAATACGTGGGGTAAGTTTAATTCGCGATGAAACGAAATACAGACATTCTTAACATAAAACAATATCATGCAAAATGTTATCATTATTCACAAAATCGCGATTGTTTACGACTGAATTCTTTTTAAATTCTCTGTGCTATCTGGGTTATTATGAGTGACGGATCAACGTTTCCCTCTATTTTGTATTCAAGATTTCATACAAAAGAAACTAAAAGCACTCAAAGAAAAAAATTCTGTTAGCATTTTTTTTATCCCACATTGTAAGCAACCCGCAATAATTTTAATATTAATAAATTATTTTAACTCATATAAAAAAGTTAATAAATTAAAGTTACAATAATTAAGTACATTTTTAATTGACTAGTTTAAGTTAAAAATAATTAACTTTCTAACTTAACTTTTAACTGATTTACTAGCCATTACTCAACCCTAAATACTTACATCTTTATAAATCACATGAAAAGTTGTTTCTTCACTTTTTGTTGCAGGCTACGAAATTATTAGGAGTAGCGTACCAAGACGTAGACGGAGCAAGTGCAGTTTTAGTATCTCCCACTTCCAATGGTCAAGTGCATATAGTAAGTAATAAATATTTTGAGACTTCGATCTTGAAATAACTATAAAAATCCGACCACAATGTTAATAACAATATTTGTATAAAAAAAGCGTAAATAATAGTTTTCGTTTTTTCATACGTACACATACGTGTTCGCGCTTATATGGACTCAAATGAATGAGAGGAACTAAATATTCAAAATATTTTTATGCAATTTATGTATACAAGTATACATTTATGTATACATTTATGTATACAAGTATTTCATGTTGAATTTTGCAAATTAAAAATTGCAAACATTTCAGAACGGAGTAATTAAAAATTCTTACGTTATAAAATCCTTGCCACAACGGTTCTTGAAAGAGGTCGCGTATGGTGGACATAAGCTTCTCGAGCCGCATCACACTAAAAATATAACGAAAGAAGACGATTTCGCTTACACGCATCATCACGTAGTGTACAAAATACCACCGTTGAAGGGAGATCAATACAAAGATTTCAGTACGTTATACAAATGCTTACATATATATAGAACTTTAGAATCTCTCCGGTAAAGAACCATTACGTATAATTATGTGTGAATTGTATGCGATCATTGTCCAATCTACTTTCGTCAGACACGCTGTATATAATTTATATATACTTATATATAAATATTTTATATATAATTATATGAAAATATATATTTTATATATACTTTTATATAATTGTATATATTTCTATTTTTGTACGAGTGTTCTTCTATGAATGTTTGCTGTTGACCGTTTGCCGCGCGAATTCGCGCATTATGAACTACGATAAAATAATATATTGATTTTTTAGGTATATCGGATCCTGATGATGGAATAAAACATGATGCACCAGAGATTATTTATCCCGAGGTACTGGTAATAGTTGATCATAAGTTGTACAAGTAAGTATTTAAATACAATAATAAGATTGAATAACTTACTAAGTTCAATGTAATAATTTTGTTAGTAATATTTATTAGCTATTTTACTGGGTCAATGAAATTTTATTTGAAAATTGTCTAGTTAATATTAACTAACAGTAAGATCATACCAATGTTACAATCTCCCACTCAACAACTACTACATATATTATATATTGCAGTTACATTGTTGAGCAGAAAATAATAACGTTACTTTTAGTTATTGTTTACTTGAATTACTTAATTTATATTGTACACTATTATTTGTTTAAAAATATACGAAATAAACTCTTTTTAATAATAATTATCATCTGCTTGTCAGAATAATAAATCGTAAGTTTAAAAAAAAAATAAATTACTTCATTATAGAACTCTCGGCGAAAACATCCGTCGAGCCGTAAAATATATCATGGCATTTTGGAACGGCGTCGACTTGAGATATCGTTTATTAAATACTCCCAGGATATTATTCAATATCGCAGGTATCGTTATAGCTAAGGTATGCTTCTATTTATTTTACTATTATTTTGATTCACAAATATAAATTTATTTCTTCAATTCATGCATATATGCACGCGCGCGTCCGCATATACCGGTATTATATAAAAGTTTAGTGTTATAAAATATCAATATGTACAATGCTGCTATAACTTTGTTAGTAAAATAATTTACATATTTAGTACCTGTTATCAATATAATAGTGTAATAAAGTAAAACTTGATATATTATTTTTTACTACAGGATGACGATGCACTTCCATGTTTAGAGAAAAATCGCATCGAACTTTCAATGGTAGATTCAGATCGTGCTTTGCGTTGTACAGCGGATTATTTATATCGCGAAAACAGATTTCCGTACGATTTTTACGACATGGCTGTCGTCATGACGCGGTAAGCGTTCGTACCTTTTATTGTATTCCTTATTGTTTATTGTCTGTTGTCTGTTAATATGCATAAAGATATATACAGGATATCTGATAATAAGTGGGAATTTACACATATAAATTAGGTCAAACTCAATACAAAAGATCTCTATCATTTCGCAAACAACTACATAAAATTTTAAGTTATTAGTTAAAGAAGACTGGCGAATAATTATGCGCGATGCGGTGCAGGGCGTAATATTAAGTAGGATTTCTGTTGTGTGCTTGTACATTAGGTTAAACTGAACAAAGATAAATTTTACGATTTTTTGCAAATAACCAATAAATTATTAATTTATTAAATAATAAAAAATATTAAAATGAATGATTACACGCGATCGTTCGTTCTTCAACCTTCTTTAATGAAGACCTCTACGTGGTTAATTAAATAATGGGGTTCTGTTTTGTTTAATTTGTACACTCGTAGTCAGAAAGGTTGTCTGGTTTTTTTTATAAGTTTAAAAATATATCCTTCTTGTCCAATGAAACAGCTATTTTATTATAAAGTAAATTCTCTCATTGGTCAAGAAAAATAGATTCCTAACCTTATAAAAAAAATCTGACAATCTTTCCTACACTCGATTGCTAAACGATTTGCATACTTATCAAATAAAATTGCAACAACTTAAGCTATCAGAATTGGAAGCTATTGCTGATATGCATGCGCAGTAATCGGTTATGACGAAATGGCAGTAAAAAATGTGGCATTTGTGAAATTTGGAAGAAAAAAATTTTTTTTTATTAAAAGGACATTATTTTGAAAACATTTTTATATATGTTACCATGATTACTGTTTGAGTCAACAACGGTTTTTAATTCTAACAGGTTGAGTCGTCACAATTTTATTCGATAAAAAGTACTGATTGTGCATACAACGAAAATCTTACTTACACGCAAAAAAATGACTTAGTTATATCAGCTAAACTGCAGTAGCTGATTTAAACTTAATCAAAAGGCTAATCGTTTAGCTGCCACTGCTAAGAATTGGCTATGACAGCTAAAATGTATTTGCTATGAAATACAAATATATTAGGTAAAAATTATATTAGATTAAAAATGCATATTATTTCAAATAGTTAAGAAAATGGCAGTTATTCCTAAATATCTTATCGTATGCATATATTAAAGAAGTTTGCCGTACAGCTACAATCATTTGTTTCTAGCAGCCAATATTTCTCACTGTAGCGCCTAAGTTTAAACAGCGAATAAATTTAGCTTCGGTAGTATCGATATTAGCTGTCCCTATTTCAGTCACACATCTTATCTGTCACAGTTATTTTTTAGCTCTGGAAACTAGTTCTTTTTTTGCGTGTGTCATGTACAATTACTCACCAGTTTCCTTTAGTTAATAGCTCAAAATTTTATGTGGATGTTTGTAAAATAATAGGTAAATTTTGTTTAATTTATCCTAATCTACATATACATGAGCGTTTTCTTATGTATCGGTATATATATTTATGTAACACAATTTTAATTTTAATCTATATATAATTTCAGATTGGACATGTGCAATTTCTTTAACGGTCCCTACTGCAACCCACGTACTTTAGGTAAATTAATTGACATTCCGCAAATGATGTCGTCAAATGACATATTAATGCCATATTAATGACGTTAATATAATGCATTATTAATATATCATTTAACATCATGTTTGCTAAGGCACAATTGCACCCCACATTTCGCCTGTTCCAATAAACGCTCCAGAGTCAATACAGTTATATATTTACTATATAATAGTTATAAATTTCAGTATCACATTATAACGTGAAAGTTTGTCGCAATGTTATAATAATATTATCATTTTGCCCTTAAAAATACAAGTAATGATATAGAAGGTGTCTGATTCGTACCGAATCACTATATATATGACACTATACCATATACTATACAGGATGTCCCACAAATACTGTAAACAAAACAAGAAATTTTTTCAACGTCATATTTTTAGGATTTCAAGGTCATTGTTATTTTTTATATGAGACTACATATTTTTATCATCGTGATATGATACAAGAAAAAAATAGAAAAACAAGAAAAATTTCTTATTTTTTATAGTATTTGTCTCCTCGAACTGAATAATATCCCTCTTTGGCATCCTCCTATCATAAAACATAAGCGAGATGATCAGGTTAGGTGGGACACCCTATATACGAGAGTCAATTACACTGTACTTAAGATATATCTTATTGAAAGTGCGAACGTAACACTATGTTTTAATTTTTTTAATTTCTAATAAAATGTGTTTTCTAAATTATATAGAAGCAACACTTAATATCAGCTGGAGCGTTTGTTGAATATATTTTTTGAAAAATTTATATTTTGGAATGAAACAACTTATAATTATAAATCCGCTATTCAGGTTATGCATATGTTGCTGGCGCGTGTGATAGAAACGCAACAAAACAATCGTCCGAGGCAGTGGGAATCGTCGAAGATAATGGTGGTTTTAGCGGTATTATTCCGACAGCTCACGAGATTGGTCACTTGTAAGTTTACAGATCTCAAGAAATAATAGGATATTTATTAGAGATATGTGAATCAAAGATTTTTTATGTCCAATCGATGAAATTTCACCCGAATCTATCGAGTCGAGTCGTTGGAAGAATTTTTAATTAATATAATCATTGAATTCAACATGAAAATAGTGACTTCAATATAAGAGAGATAACATTGATCATGTGATATCAATTCATTTTTAAGATAAGAGATGTATAATATATAGTCGGTAAACGTGTATGGAATACAGTTCCAGCCTTGAAAGCTGCTCAATGACACATATCGATCCGACAGTTGTCGGTAAGAGTTTATCTAGAACCCATTATCTTCTTTTAATATTTTTGAAGAAAATTTTAATATACAGCAAATTTTTCAAGTCATGCTAATTCCCGTAAGACTGGATGTTTTTAATAGTTCTTCGTTAATGCTAATGTGCGCGATCCGTATTCGAATCTTTTCGATTCGAAATTTTCGAATTATTCGGATTCGAATCAATGAGATTCGAATTTTAATCAAATCGAATTTCACTTGATTCGATTCGAATTCGTATAGTTCGCACATCTCTAATATTTATGGAACATACTGTGTTGTTCGCATCATAAACAAAATATTAATTTATTGTATGAAAAATGAATTCACAATACAACCATAAGTCGTTCAATAATGATAAAAAAAATATAGGATAGGAGCTCGTCATGACGGTAACCCTAAAGGCGCTAGTGACTGTGAGCCGCGTGACGGCTTCATAATGACTGACAAACTGTTGACGCATGAAAATGGATTCGAGTGGTCGCCATGCAGTATAAATGCCTTCTACACGTTTATTTAGTATGTATCATACGATTCGCAGTGAATTCGATATAATTTTACGCAAATCGGGTTTGTATTTTATACAGTCTTTCATATACGAAAAAAATAATACGGTTGGCTAACATATATAAATATAATCTAGTTGTGTCAGTCAGATTCACGAAAATACGAAACAACTAATTATATGGTTGCTGCAACTACAGAGCAATTGTTGAGTTATAATGACGATAATGTGATTGCTCCAACCAAAAATTATCTTTAATAAGTTTTTCAGAACACATAAAAAAGACAAAAAAAGACGAATTAATAGAACGAAAAAAGTTGATGATCAGATACTTGAAAAATTTATCAAAAGAGTGCCCCGAGTTTGCGCGTATCTTATGAAAGCTCTAAAAAGTTACTTCGAAGAATCGAAAATTAAAAAAAGATTTTACTTTTTTTAAAAGACTCTTCTTTTAGTCTTAATGAAAAACAGTTATAAGATTTAAAGATTTTACTTTTTTTAAATGACTCTTCTTTTAATTTTAATGAAAAACAGTTATAATATTACATTTATAGATATATATAGAAAATATGTTCATATTTTACCTTATACAAAAACTCACGAATAGAAAATGTATTGAAACTTTTGAACGATAGAGTGTGTATAATCTAAGAATAATTTCAGTGAGGACAGAGCCAAATGTCTTTATAATATGCCTATATTGGGAAAACCAATAGCACGTGTTTTGCCCGGAAAATTATTGTCTTTAGACGAACAATGTTACAAAGTCTTTGGAACACCAGCATGTAATGTAAGTTTTATCACAAGCACATTATGTTGTCTGACTAAATATAAACGAAAAGACACACTTCATATATATATATGAATATATATATATATATATATATATATATATATATATAAGGAAGCTTATAACATTAATTTTTTGCACAGAATGATACTACAGTCTGCATTCGTCTGAAATGTGAGTATCCTGGATATTATGATTGTAAAGCAGTGGCTGCAGCAGCGGAAGGCTCACCTTGCGGAAATAATTTAGTGAGCTTTCACTTCTACAAAATAAAACAATAATTGCTACCACCTTGAACATCTTCGTAATGAAAGTAGAAGAATATTTTATCAATAGAAATTGATATAGAACTTGATATAGAAACAATAATTTTGGTCAGAAACAGTAAAATCTTTTTTCTGCATAGAAGCTCGAAGGAAACTTCAAAGATTTAAAGGTTTATATTCGTTTCTTTATATAATGTTCTAAACATAACGTTCTAAATATAAATCGATTCTCTTTTTCCGGGTACTAAAGTAAAATCGCTGGAATATATGCTAAGAGAGAATTCGCATCTTGGCAGAAAAGTAGAAAAAGTAGAAAGACAGAAGCCAATCAGAATTCGCCCTAATAGAAAAACAAAAACTGTTGACTGCCACTTGATCATCAGCGCGAGTTCTTATTGGTTTCTGCTAGTGTGGATTTTCCTTACTGGAACATGTACTGCCTACAATATCTATATGTGTTATACAATATCCAATATCGGTAAGTAAACGGGATGAAAGAGAGGTTCTTGATTTCTTCATTTTCTTAATCTGGGCTACAATGTGATCGAGAGTGCAGAGGATAAAGTACAGTAAAATCAACAAAAGATAGACAAATACAAAGAACTATTCGAGACATTCAGCATACTCTCTCTCATCCTGCATAAGCAGGCTTGCGCTTGTTCCAGTTTATACAGTTATACATATTTCAGATTGGTACCCTTTAGATATAGCCAATAAAATGATCTGTACATCATTTGAAGATGATCTTAAGACGATCTTAGATATGAGATTCGATTATGAATACCTGTCTCAGTGTTTATTTTAGAATCCCCTTAACATTCCTAGGTATTCGCCGCAAAACATGTTAAGCCGTGATATCAAAAGCGAGAAAGATTAATCTGCCGTGCCAAGGAAAAAAATAGTTAAGTCACATTTAAAAAAAAATGAGTTCTTTATACTAATAGATTCATAACAAAGAACCACGTCTAACTATATTGATAAAAACTAAAAATTATTATTATTTATTAAAATAAAGACAGGTTAACTTTAGGTAAAAATTTTTGAGACTTTTTTTCTCGTATTTTCAAAAAGCAAGAACCTTAAGTGCATTTTCAAATAGTAAATATTTAAAATATTAATTTTTTATTGCAGAATAAAAAAAGCGGACCCGATTTACCCAATACATGCTTTTGTATTCATAGATATTTACTTTTCCATTACGATTCTCTAAGCAAACAGTTTTCGTCGATTTTCTCAGTTTGAAGGCAAATATAGTTATCCACTTTTTTCCTTAGCACGGCAGTAATATCAACGAACGGTTCTTCCCATTATTCTACATAAAAAAATATTGAGATAAGATAATCAAAAATAGAAGTTTATATTTTATATTTTTTACTGAAACGTACAAAATAAAAAGTATCAGGATAAAATATAAAATATTTTAAAAAGTATTCATTTTTCGATGATTTTATGCCACTATTTTTATACATATAATGATTAGAGGAATTAATTTATGTTTAAAAAATTATATAATTCTACTAAAAAAAAGAAAAACAAAAGTGACCTTTCAATCTTCGAAATTATTTTATCTAAAAAAAGCGTTATCGCCATAAAACAATCATTTTTCTATAATTTCTATTAGATAAATTTTTTTAACTCTAAGCTATTCAATAGTTAATAGTGTTTGTCTTATCCCGTATATTTATTTGTATGTGTGAGTTAAACCATTATTTATTGTTCAATATTTTCTTAGATTTGTTTAAACGGTAAATGCGTTTTGGAAGGAGCACTGACTAAAGACCAAGGAAAGAAATTGACAGAAAAGCAACGTAAACATCTTCCGCATTTCAAGGAACAAAAGATCGAACTAATTCCTTGGATAAAACAAAGATTAGGCCAAAGTAAGTATTGAATTGAATAAAATTGTATTTGAAAAAAAGAATTGGTAACTTTATAATATCGCGTACACAGAAATTACTTAAATTATTTATATACTGTTGGCTCAAACAAGATTATGCGTGTAATTTCTTTGTAAAATGTTAAGTCTTTAATCTTTAATATATAAACTAATCTCATGATCTGTATATTACAGGACTTAAAGATGTTAGGAACAAGATTAAGAATAGGGAGATCATAAAACGTAATAAAAGGCTCATAAGCTCATAGGCTGATGTTTACCACTAAATTGTATTTCGCGCCTCTTCCTCAAGATCAATCTGTAGTACCCCCCACTTTATACCGATGCCGCCACAGTTTTAAAGTCTAGAGCTTCAGCTTAATAACGTTTGTTATTGTAGCTCGTTAACACTGTATCTAAAATCTGTTGAAACAAGTAAAATGTGATAATATCAATTCAATTAACACGGAAATATATGAAGAAAGTTTATTTATTATCATTCAAAGTTGACCATCATTCTTAATTTAACAGTTTATTTCTTTTGTATATATTTTGTATATCTTTTAGTAGTATCCTACTTCTATCAGATGAAACCTCAATGGCGGATATTGAATATTCGAAGTTGAAAAATCGTAATTATTATTTTCCATAGTGTTTATTATTATAGTCTATGACGTTTTTTCTACGAGAAAATCAACCATGAACTAACTGAAGATTCCGCCATGAATAGTTGATTCGACAGAAGTGGGACATCCGCGTTATCTCTTCCCGTTGTTTTCTCAAGAAAGATGCATATAAGCATTACATACGTGTGGAACTATACCGCCATTCTTCACATTGCTCTACATCGAATTCACTACAAGGACAGTGAGACATAAATATACGTAATATCTCTGTAGATAATAGACGCAACAACGGCGAGTCTGGGTTATTACGCAACATTTAAGAGTGTATTGCCCATATCACAAAAATAATAAAAAAATATTGAAAAAATTAATGATTAATCTATATTGTATCTGAAAGTGATTACAAACAATTTCACATTGATTTAGTCTGGATCAAATGTTATTTCACTTTGTAGTGTAAGTCCAGCAAACATGATAACGTCAAATAATATTTTAATGGTGTATTAGTAACGTTTCTAACGTTAATAATACATCATTAACGACTTTGTATAATTTGTAGACATGAATTAAAAAAGTTCTTCAGAATTTTTTACAAAAAAATTATAAGACACATTTATTAACTTTTCAACATATGTTTATCATATTTTAAAGAAATTTTTTAGAAAGAACACGATTTTTTTCATAATAGGATCTCGTCAATTAGTTGACTTATAAGATGCGATGCAACACGTCTTGCTGGCTATATGATGTAGCCGCTTAACCCTAATCTACAATGTACTCTTTGTTTCCTGTTTCTTGTTTTCTGTTTTTTTTTCTAGCTTAAAGCCTAATCTACAATGTGCGTTTTGTTTCTTGTTTTCTGTCTTTTCTGGTTTACAGCTTAAGATTTGAGTCAGAAAGAGATAAAGAGAAAGAAGCAAGAAACAAAGAACACATTGTATATCAAACTTTAAGTTTGAATAAAAAAGAAATAAAGGAAAAGAAACAAAAAGCAAAGAACATATTGGCCAGTATTCATAGTCAGATTTTATATTTAAGATTGTCTTAACTTCATCTTCGGATCATCTTATTGGCGAAGTATCTGAAAGTGAACTTAAAGTGAAGACGCTCTTAAATATAAGATCCAACTATGAATACCATTGTAAATTAAGCTTTATAGGTTGCACTTCAAAATTCATTGACAATACTGGCAGTATTGCGAGAGCCGTTCCGAAATGCGTGGCAGTAAGTTTTCAAAGCACTTTTGTATTCATATAACGTTATAGATTTTATCGTCATTTCCTACTTTTGTTACTGCGGCTCGCGAGGTGAGACATTCGCAGTAGAAACATGTCGGCATCCATCAAATAATTGTGTTTTATAGACATAGAAGATAATAGAGCATGAAATAAGTACTTGATAACACGTACAATACTATAATAACTGTAGTTTTTTTCCATATATTGTTAATTCTAAATTATTATTAATTCTATATTATTATTAATAATATCGGAATTCAATAAAACTTTTATTAAGTACGATACTACGTGATATTATCAACTATAGCAGTACTCACAGCTTTGTTCCATTTTTTCTATTCACAGTAGATCGATAGTACACTTACGAAAACGGAACACTTGTGTCAGCGTATTGCGATGATGTCATGTTTACAATTCTGATAGTGAATATCGAAACACAGAAACATAATTATCTAAAACAAAGAAGCAAACCAATTCTTATGTTATATGAATGTCGCTATCATCTGAATAATTATTATTAACCACTACTATTAAACCAAACCAACTAAATCAAAATTTAGTAAAATGGCGAGATCGAAAAATAAATTACGGGGACACAATTTTTTCGATCCCGCCATTTTACCAAATTTTGGTTTTGCTCAATAATCAGTTCAGACGATAGCGGCAATTTCATATAAAATAAGAATCTGATTTGCTTCTTTGTTTCAAATAATTATAAGCGACTATATCATGCACGTCAGCAGGATAAGAACGTGTTGCGCTGCGCCTTATAAATCAACCAATAACGAGATTCAGTTATGAAAAAAATTGTATAATTTGCTCGAAGCATGACAAAAACATACTGAAAATTTGAAAAATGTGTATATTATATTAATTTCCTTGTAAAAGAATTGTAAAGAAACTTCTTTAATTCATGCCTACAAATTACTCCTTTAATACATTTTAAAATATTTCAAACCGCGTCGCTATAGGAATAAATTATATTGCTATCTTTAGTAAAGGAAAGGTAATTGAAATATATATAATGACAGAAATCTCAATTTTTATATACATATACTTTAAGTATTCAAAATGATATGTGCAAAGATTATAATTCAGAGGTAAGAGTTTAAAAGTCAGAAATAATATAAAATAAAGTAAATATATAAGTAAAAATGTGATGTTAAAGTAAAAATATGTTATTATTCAACTTATCGTATATATATACCACACATTATTATGCGAAAAATAGAGATATTAAGTATTTTTCTCTAATTTTCAATTACTTTTTGTAGGGACTATACGGGCAATACATCCTTAATCCTATTCTAGACTAACTTATGACTAATCGAAACAAGTCGATTAACGCTTGTCCTTAAATCTCCAAACATCTAAAATTACACAAAGAAAAAACACGACTTAAATTACGTGAAAGTTGAAATTTTTATCCAATAATTCGATTGGCAAATTCATATATCTTATGTTTTCAAACATACTTTAAGCGTTTGGTAACTCACAAGATCCAAAGTGGAATTCTATTTGCAATTTTATAGAGTGGGATAATAACTAGTAAATAGCTAGTTAATTGGTTAAAAATTCAGTTAAAAAGTCAATAACTATTAATTTAACTCAGTTAATTTTTAATGAGTTTTAACTTCTTACTAGTTATTTTTAGCCATTAGCCTATAAATTATCATGTTTAAAACAGTAATAGGTTAGTAATGCATTTATGATTCTGCACCGATTTGTGATATTCGAATAATAATTACTTATTATATTTTATTAATAAATTTATATATTTCTTTATTTCCACAATAAGATCATTAAATTGGTCATTAAATAAAACATTCATCTTATGTCACAAATTAGGACAAAGCTGATCTATTACGTCACTAAATAATATATTAATCAATTTTAAGAAAATATTACAAATAAAATAGAAGCTTCCCATAAATTAGAAAAATATAATATAATTAAAACCCCCAAATATTCAAACTTTCCAACAAAATTAATTTTGTTTATTTAGTTTAATATGTACATTATTAATTTATTTATTTATTTTCACGATGAAGTTATTTATTTACTAATTAGAACATTTATTTTAATATGTAAAACATTTAAAGATTTATAGATGTCTGCGATATATTTTCTTTCAAATAGAATTCCACTTCGCACTTTGAGGGTACGGCCCGTTCAACGCTTAGTATATTTCAAATGCTTTTGCTCCAAATGGTTCTGTACAAAAGCGTTACCAATGTTACCACTGTTGACCAAATAAATAGACAATAAGTAAACCAAATTTTTACATCTAGAAATATTGAAAAGAATTTAAGATAAAACTTAATATTTAGCTTAATATCTTAATGAATTACATAAATGTCAATATTGGAATATTAATCTATATTGCAAAAACTTTTTTTTAACACAGGCTTATCTTTACAATAACGAAGAAGAAGCAATTGCAATTGATGCTGTTTGTAATGCTAAAAGTATAATATATGTGTATATCAAATTTTGATAGCAAAATTAAGTAATAGCATTATAATAACTGAGACATTTACCAAATTTTAATAGCAATAATCTAAGTATTTAATAATAATCACTGTATCATTATCTGATTCAGTGGTAAGATGTAGTTGGTTCTAATCATTAATTCAGTTTTCATTCATATATCTGTTTAAAAAATAAATCAATTCAAATATTATTAAAATATTAAAATTCTCTTTTTACTTCCAAAATTGCAAAACAGATAACAGTAAATATAAGTTAGGTTGAGTTAAATTATAAATCCGACAATATTTATAAATACTCTTAGTATTTCATACAAAGTCTTATCTTCATTAGTTGCTCTAATATCTTGCCAATAATGTGTCTTTGAGAATTATATATAGCATATCTTAGCATTTTTTATATTTCCTCTTGGACTTCTATCTGAATTTCCATTATCGCGCAAAATTTTCTCGCACAAACCTAAACGCTGCAGTTACACATCTTTCTCGTACAAGCGTTAGAAGCGAGCTGGGAGCGATAATATATTACGTATTCATGAAGTCATACGTACCAATAGAATGCTTCAAAGTGTCAAATAGACTATTTGAAACGTTTCGAAGCACTTGCAACGATTAACGATAAACCGACCGTACCCTGAATTACAGACAGTCTAAAGTGACCTTCAAAATCGCTTTACTCTAAACGACCGTTTGCTTTCAGGAACAGATGTCGGTGAATGCACGGACGTGGGGTCAGATTGCGCAGAGCTGATTGACAGGCTGAGAACATGGCTGTGCCATCTACAATCTGTGAAGAGTCGCTGCTGCGCATTCCTGAAGACGATCTGTGTTGATTAATAATATTAAAAAATAAAAAAGGCGAAAAATCGGCTCGATGATTAGCTCGATGACATCGCGCTTACTAAACGCCCGTCGTGACGCCGTCCTGGTGAACAGAATGAAACGGAGGGAACTCGAAGCCGAATCGACGATCGTCTATTCTCTTTATTTTTTTTACACGCTCTTCGTCAAAGTCCTCGATGCTTTTGCGGTTTTTACGGTCGGGATAAGCGCGACCATATTCGACTCTTCGAGTAGCTATACGTATATTTCACTTTCTCTCCTATTTTTTCTTTTCTCCTCCGCTCTCTTCCCTCTTCTTCCCTCCCTTCCTCTCTTTCCCTCTCTCTTTCTCAATATCTCTTCCTCTTTCTATTCATATCCGCGCAGTCTGGGTATCATTCGTTTACATTGTAGATACAGTATCACCGGGACTTTGCCACGGGTGTGCCGGATGTAGTGAATCTAAAAGCAGAGCGACCTGACTGTCAATCGATACGATATTCGACCGTGAATATAATTTATTCGATAGAAAGCAGATTTCGCTAAAGATTCGCTTTACCCGATGCATGAGTGTTTGACGAGCGCGCGTACGCACTCGCACGAAAGAAGCCATTCGAAAATCATGGAAATTGTTTAACGCAAAACAATAAATGGGAATACTTAAAAGCAGATGTGTTATGTATACCCACCCACTTACTGTTCACTTTTATATAAAGAGTCGACTATCGATTTTTAAATGGAATGACTTATTTTTTACCCCGGGAATCAATAGAGCATAGAATTTTACATTCAAAACATGTGGTCATATGTAGAGGTTATATGAACCCTTGAGGATCGTATCACAAAGTTTTTTTCATGTTAAAACAATAATTGTGATATGAAAAGTGATAGGTGAAAATATTTCATACAAAAGTTGTTATATACACAACATACACAATAACATGCTATGTTTCAGAAAATTGATACTAAAGATATCACCATATCAAATATTGATTGTAATTAATATTTTAATAAAAAGAGATACAATTTTTTGGTTTTATAAGAAAAATATAATCAATAAATAATTTTAATTAATTCAATGTGTAGTAATGCATGTTTACATATTGCATGCCTTAATAAATCACTTTTCAATCAATTCTTGAAAACTAATGATTGAAAAATAAACAAGTTTTGCGAGTTACCCCATTTTGCCGCGCATAAATACTCATTCGCTCATTCATCACACGTAATTAATGGAAATATATAAATATAGCTGGCGTTACCAAAACAAAAACATTTGTAACTTTAAAAGGATTAATTTTTTAACTTACATTTATTAATTATTTTTTACTGAATATAATGACTACTACTTATCTTGTAAATCTAGAATCCTCTTATTTGAGCACACTCATATATCACTCAAACAATTAAAGAATGGCGTCTATGGATCACAAAACATATGCAAAATTCAACAGATTACAATTTCGGCAAAACAATAATAATGAGATGACCCAAGAAGCATTTCTAATTCAAAATCTTTAGCTTCTAATGTAAGTGAGAAATAAAACCAAAAAAACTTTGACCGTAAATAATCTTACATATTACATGTACATTTTGTGACGTATAAAAAATTATACGTGACAATATCACTTTGTTTATCCTGTGTTTGTCAATTAGCGCATATGCAATTAGCAAGAGCTTGCAATTACGAAAATGTATATTTACGTGTACAACTGCATCGAGCTACGTTCATAGTGCATGATAAATAATTTATTTGACAATGAGCAGATACGAAAATATCACTCCGACGCCACGGCCGTATAATGAGATCGATGGAATTAAAATGGCGTAGGTCGATGTCTTTTAAAAACAAAATTTTTTTACGTATTCGTATCTTCTTAGAATAGACACGTTTCTTGATCAAACACAAATTAATAGTTCCAAATTTGTATACTGTCTTAACGTTAACTCGTGTTATGCTCTTTGTTTCCTTCTTCTCAAAGTTAATCATATTTTTAATAGCTTATAAAATTGTATCATCAATAAATATTTTCTTAAAAGTAAATTTCCATTCCCTCTGATTAGTATTAAATAAACAACCATACAGAGTGTTTCTTAATTACTGTTCAATATTTTATAAGAATTGTTATAGAGTATTAAAGATTCTACATTCAAATGCAAATATTTCCGAAATTAATGGCTTTATCATAAGTTATTATGAATATATTTTTGTAATTAATAAAATAATAAAAATTTGCCAAAAAAATTAGATTTCGTCCATTGGCAATACAAAAATTCGAGAGAATAATATATTATTTAAATTTCGTTTCTACATCGCAGACTTATAATACGACGATTATAGCTAAAAAATAAGACCTTACTTATTTATTAATTCGAGTTGGAAAAAGAAATTTGCTTTTATCTAGAAGCTACTAAGAAGAAATAATTTTATAGGATTTTTAACATTCTGTTTTTTGAAACAAGGTTTTTGAGAGCATATATTCATATAAACTTTTCTTCATAAAATAAAAATCTTAAAAATCTTAAATCTCAAAAATTAACATCTTAAATATTGAACAGTATTTAAAAAATACCTAGTATACGGCACCATTATGAAACTATAAAGACCTTCCGTCAAAAAGATATGTTTCTTATGTAACAGGTATATTAGCAATGGCATTAAGTAGATAAATAAATCATGCAGGTAATGTAGCGTTAAATTGTGTTAAACGCAGGTGTTCAAATAAGTGACGGGAATGGTATCCAAATTATTAAAAGTTGATAATCGGATGCGCATTAAACGAAAGATTACTAATTTTATTAATGCGATACGTTACATATTATGCAATAAAATATGAGATAAGCTTAGTCTTTATTGATCCTTGACGGAATGTTTAATTCGCACCTTCAGGTACTGCGTCTTCATGCGTCATTTGTCATGCAAGAATTATGAATTTGTATAATTCTTTCGCCATTATGTCGGGCGCGCACTCCGCTGCAAATTACATAATATATGTACAAGTGTTAATCGGCGAGCAAATCAAACATTGGCCGGTTAATTTATATCGTGCTGCGAAATAATTCACCCTTCATATTCGCGTAATGGACTCTCTTGCAGAACGTCCCGTTCGCTGTTGTCTATAAATATTATCGCGCTACGTGCACCAGAGGGATCGCAGTTTGCGATCCATATTATTTCATTTTACCGCGAATAAATCGCGGTAAATCGTATTTCGGCGCGATATTATTTCCATTCACCGTGAAGAAGACAACCGCAAGTTGCAGTTGTTTCATTAACCGACACATAAAAATTGATTCTGTAAGTACATTTTCAAATATATACATACACATAATGACACGCGCCAAATGCACTTAATTTTAATATGTTTAAATTTATTTAATGACGGCACTTCTTTCCAATATTCAGTAAAATTTGATTTTGAATAATTCCCAGAAATTAAATTTTCTTATTAAATATAGGCATATAAATTTCTTAAAATTTTCCCAAAAATTGTATAGATTTCGATTAAAATGCACAAATTCCAAAACTGATTATTATCAATTGGAAATTCCATGAGATGTCAATTAGATTTATTCTTACACAAAAATTAGGTTTTTGTATACAATCGAAATAGAAATACTATGGGAACTCGCATATGTTTTTCGGTAACGTCAATATATTTTTATATAATATCAAAGAGAGAATTGCATTTTTATATTAATTTTGTATTCAATAGAATGAAAAATGTTTTAAATATTTTTTTTAAATACTTTGAGTATTTTACTAAATAATGAAATTATATGAGAAGTCAACATATGTGTGTTTTGTTCAATTCTAATGTAAAATGAAAATCAGAAAAGTATATTGGAAAAACTTTGGGGATCCAAAAAATCGACTTTTTTGCATTTTGTGCTTTTAAGAATATATTCCCTGAACAATTAGATGGAATTTGAACAGTTTATTGATGTTTTCGTAATTTAAACGGGACGTCGCGACGATCAAATTTACGCAACGTAGTTGGCATGCTCTGGATATTCTTTTAATCGATAGCGATTCTGTTGGGGCTTTAACATACAACTAATTGCATTTTAATCGAAATCTATACTATTTCTGAGAAAATTTTAAGAAATTTATATGCGTTTAATATATATGTTTAGTAAGAGAATTTAATTTCTGGGAATTATTCAAAATCAAGTTCTATACTGAATATTGGAATTATATATATTTTTATTTATTCACAGAGTATATAATATAAGTTTGTATATAAATATATATACACATATTCTTCTTTTCTTGCCGTAAATAAAAATTTCTGTATACACTGTCTGTCTATAACAATTTGAACTTTATTTTCTTTGTTCTATCCCATTAAATGCTGTATTCTACAAAATTTTCAAATAAATGAAGAGGAGTGAATTTCGAACATATTAATTAAACTATGTGTGTGTATAGTGTTAAAAGTTTTTAATAATATGAGCTACGTTTGCATCGGAATCAAATATGTATTTATACCATTTAAATCATGTGAGAGAGAAAAATAATCAAAATAATGTTTCCTTTACCATTTCTATATATAAGTATTTAATGAATGGCGATATTTTCTTGTAAGTATGATTTTGAATCGTAAACGCAATTTCGAATCGCAAGCGTAATTTTGCGATAAAAGTTCAATTATGTATTGCATTGCGATTCAAGAAAAGTCACGGTGTTTGCGATATATCGTAAAATCGTACATTTCTATTAACTATATTAATATAATATTACTATTAACTATAATTATATAATATAATAATGTGAAGTAGTTATGCAGTGCGAGAAAACGGATCGTAAAGGATTCAAAAGAAGATCATACGAATCGATTGAGAGGAAGAAGTCGAAGTTTTTATGGAATTAGATTTACTATAAAAAATGATACTAGTATTCTTAGTACTTTCGCAGAAGAATTGCATACAAATAACAAGTCCGAAATTATTATCGATAACAGAGTTATTGCATCCTTGACTCTTTTTTCTCTGTATTCACTACTATGGTTATTTGCTGTAAATACTACAATGATATAAAGTTAAACGAAAGAAGTACCTATAGAATAGGATTTAAAATAGCTGGCGATCTTTAAATAGCTGTAATACAGAAATTTGGTATCAAATATATAATATATATTCCTGTCCTATAATAAATCATGTGAAAGAAATTGTCGTATCATAATAATAATGAGACTTTTCAGCATTGGGACAAAAGATATAAATTTATTTAATTAGCATATGTATATCAACTTTATATACAAGGTGTCTCAAATCACCATTTTCAAACTTCGCGACAGTATAGAACAAATTGAAATGAACATAAAAAAGTACCGTTTCGCAATATTCATAATAAATCTCGAGGTATTAATTAAAGAAGATTAGTGAATGATCACGCACGATATATGATAGATGAGCTATAGTGGCGATGTGTATTGTGCTGTGTGCTTGTACATTAGGTAAGTTGAACAAAAAACTCTATCATTTTACAAACACGTAGATTTTCCATTATTCATAAAAAAAATTGTTACATAATTGTGTGCGATACACAAATTCTCTTTACGAATACTAATTTCGAATACACAAATTCTCTTTAACCCTCTAAGTATCACTGTTACTAATAGGGACTACTCAGGATCGGACAGTTGAAAGCTTATAAATGTGCTATTTAGAGTGTTTTTGACAATATTCCATTTAAAAAAAGTTACTAGAATGTTCCATGAATTATACGCCTTAAAGAGTTAATTAATATCTAAAAATTTATTTATTTGCAAAATGGTAGAACACTTTTTTGTTCAGTTTGACCTAATGTATAAGTATACAATAGTATATGACGCCCCTACAGCTCATCTACCATATCGCGCGTAATCATTCATCAATTTTTTTTAATTAATATCTCAAGATTTAATACAAATATCGCAAAACAGTATAGGATTTTTATGTTCTCCTCAATCTATTCTATGCTCTCGCAAAATTTGAGATTTGAGATACTCTGTGCATATATATATATATATATATATATATATATATATATATATATATATATATATATATATATATATATATATATATATATAT